ATCTATTTACTATATTTGGATTGTAATTGTGTTTATTTGTTTACTGGAAAAAAATTGTTACTATCTAGCATCGGATATTGGAATGTGTTAGTTTGGATAGTTTTGGAGAAACTCTCGTTTGTTTGCTAAAATTTTGATAGTAATTTGGTGAATGAGCCGAAATTTTTGTTCCTTAATATTGTTTTTTCATTTTTCTATTGAGGTTTAAAAACATGTATGCAGTATACCGGTTTAAGTCCATCTGCCGATATACTTTGTTTAAATAAATTTTATAATGATAATCTGTTTTTTTCCCTGAAGTTTTTTTTTATTTTCTTCTTTTATTTCTGTACAAGAAACTCCCTAAAGATTTGACAGAGGCATCGTTGTACGGTGCAGGCTTATCCATTATAGCAGCAGTCGCTATGGTATTTTTATTTGGAATGGTAGGCCGCCTCTCTGTTTTCTCTAACATCAATTCGATCCGTTTTGGTTTTTCATCCCAAAACAACATTTATGATTCAACATTCTTTTATATCTTATTAGTGGTTGAAATTTTCCTTTTCTTTGCGCTGATGATAATTATCAGATATATTTGTAATTTATTCATTCAACTTTTGCCTTGAAATGAAAGCAATTCCTCTGTTTCCTTCACCTACGCACATTGTAATCCATGGAATTCCTTTCGCAGGAACTGAGTAATTATTTAGCAGTCAGTACCACTACATCTATTGTTGTTGACAATAGTTCTGATGGGGACTTTTTTCGCATTTATTTCAACATCAGGTGCATTACTTTTCTGTAGCAATGTTATCTATCAATGTTTTCATTTGGTTGCAATTTTTTCTTAGTTTAAAGTCTTAAGCTTTATGTGGTATTCCTTACCATTTGATCTTGAAGTGTGTGAATATATAAAAAAATATGTGCGTGAATATATATTGTGTGTGTGAGTTTATATATATATATATATATATATATATATATATATATATATATATAGTTTTTTAATATTATATACACAGGTGTCAAAATGATGTGAACCTGAAACCCATTTGAAAGTCTTTAACTAATTTGCCTACAAGTAATTGAATTACGAATAAAGGATAAATGTTTTCTCTTAGAATTATAAATAAAACACCGTTGCTTTTATATATATATATATATATATATATAAGTTCTTCTAAAAGAGAGTTTCTAGGATATTGTTGAAATTATATGGAGATTATTTTTAGTGTATTGCATTGTTCTTTAATTTTAATATAATGTCCAATATTTATTTATTTATTAGTTTATTGTCTCTCAAGTATTTGCATATGTAATTTGTTTAAAGTTGTTTGAAATAATATATTAAAAGTCATTATATTAACTAATTAGAGTTATAAGCTTCAAAAATAATCGGACTACTAAATGTATTTAAGATAATGAAATAAAAATAAGTGAGAAATGGAAAACTTAAATAGTATGAGATCCAAAACTAAATAGATATATATATCTATCTATATTACTAACTTACTAGAAAATGAACGATAAAATAACATACGAGTTCCCCCATGCAATAAGGCTTCAACGTCTGTTGCAATATTTACAAATGAACAATAAGATCACGTTGCATTGTGGTTCCTAGGGTACTTTTGCTGCTGTTGCATTGTGGTTCTTCGGGTACTTTTGCTGCTGTTGCATTGTGGTTCTTCGGGTACTTTTGCTGCTTTTGAGCTTTCTATACATTTTTTCCTTAAAAATGTTGGGTTCAAATAGCTACTTGTCAGTCTAGACTTTTTTGGACATACTTTTCAGGATTTTCTTCAAAACCGTCATATGTTTAATATGCTTGCTTCTTTACATTTCTGTAATATCCTTGAACATTGTTCGAGAGTTACCTTTGGCTGACTATTCCAAGTTTCCAGTTTTCCAGCGCTCTCATGCGAATTTGCATCCGTTGACGTGAGTGATGTCTTGGGAACTGTGAGTCTCTGTTCCCAGACTTGTTTCGTTTGCTTAATTTTATTGAAAAAGAAACTCGTACTTCTGTCTAGCACCAAATCTCTTAAAAAGATGGCCATTACCTTGCTCTTAAGTATTTTACAAAATGCACTTAAAATGCCTGGCATTTAAACTTGTCTGATAATATTTTTATGCAGCTTGCATGGATATTTGTGTTAATATTTTCCTGTCAAAATTTTTGTCATGCTTCTTTCTTCAAGGTGCCTTAACCATTTATGTGTTGGCCCATCTGACTAAATTTGTGTCTTCTGCTTTCAGAACAGGTTGAATATAACAAAAACAATCCGGAAGTTTTCAATAGATCCACAATTAAGACCCACTGGTGCTGAGTTTCATCCTGAACCTGTTCCTCATTCCATTAAGCTTGGAGATGAATGATGAAGATCCCGTGAGGGTGCCATACCATTAAATGCTGCGAACTTTGACAAACTTTCACATCTGTAAGTGGATTAATTCAAATTTTCAAGTCATTCAATTTTGTGTATTATGTGCTCACCATGGATCTTTCGCTAAATGCCCCAATTTTGGTAATACCTCTATTTACTTGATATGATTTTTTTCAGGTATCCAGTTTTTGTTGTTAATTTTTATGCTCCTTGGTGCATGTGGAGTATTCGCCTGGTAATCTACTATTAGCATGTGTGCTCTTTCCATTGAAGAGACTTGTTGAAAACATTATTTGTTTAGCTCATGTGTAATGTGGCCCTCAAGCATAACTTTTTATATAGTTGCCAAATATTCTAATTATAGTAATCCCTTTTCTGACTAATATTCTTCATTTATATAGCTATATTTAATAACCCCCTCTTTCTTGTCCTTTTTTAAGGATATATGAGCATTTTAATAACCTCTAATATGCTTTATAGTGTGATATTTTCTTTAGTGGACCCTACTTTGTGAGGCCCACGTGTCTACCTTTAAACAAACACATATTTTGTTTCAATATTAAAAAAAACACACAAGAGAGCATTTTGAATGAATTAAACCCTTGTTTCTAATGAGTTTGGAATCTTCGGTCAAACTGATAGTAATGGTGTGCTTTGAGCTGCTATGAGTTATGACTAACTACATTTGCTCTTTTCTACCACTGAATGCTTCGAGACTTCTTCTCTTATAGTAGCTTCACCGTGTTCTTTGGGTTTCAGAGCGCGCCATGGGAGAAAACTGCCACTATAATAAAAGAGAGGTCTGAGAACCCACAATTTCTCTTCCATGGAACAGATTTATAAGTTCTTGATTTGGCAATGAATTTCGCACCCTTGCTTTTGACAGATATGATCCAGAAACTGATGGGCGTATTCTTTTGGCAAAGGTTGACTGCAGTATTGAAGTTGACTTGTGTAGTAGGTATTTCCTTTTTTTTAATTTTTTTATCACATGTAAATTAATGATTTATTGTTTGAGAATATTTTATGTCATCATTTGACCTGTTAGAATCTAAGAAATAAACGGAAGGAGAGGGAAGAATAAAAGAGGTAATATAAGAGAAATCTGCTTATTGAATTAGGAAATTACTATAATTTAAATAAAAGGAGCTAATGATTTCTAATAGAACGTTTTTTTTAAAGATAAAATTCTATCTAGAAATGGAGGTTACAAAGACTCCTAAAACTTTTCTTATAATAAAAGACTCTTAAAAAAACGAGATTTCTACACGGCTAATTCTGGCATGACCATTAGCCATATTGTTGCATTCTGATCTCTTTCACGTTGCACATACATATTAATGTTCACTTCATATATTAAAACTATTCTTTCTTGCTTTTATAGAATGGTTTCCCGAATGTTGCATCTTTTATAGCTTTACCCATGTTTAATCTCTTCTCTTCTCTTTCTTCCTTCACTGTTTTCTTCATTACTATTGTGCTCACTTGTTCCGTCTTCTTCTCAACACAGTCATCACATCCAAGGGTATCCATCCATTCGTATTTTTCGTAAAGGCAACGATGTGAGGTAAAAGAAAGTCTAACCTTACATATTTTCTACCCTTAATATCAATACTTGATGTCCCTTTGATCTGTGCAATACAGACTTGCCTTATTCTCTGACCTGTTTGTGTTTCAGGGGAATCTCATGGACACCACGAACACGAATCTTATTATGGAGATCGTGATACAAAAAGCCTGTTAAGGTATGACTAAATTAGTTTTGAATTGGCCATTTGAGTTTATAGATCGGTTACAGAAATCTTATGAGATTAAGGTTCATGCATGACCTAATGCAGTTGCCTGTTTATTCCAGATGATGGAAGAATTGGTCGCTTCTATTCCGCAGAAGAACCAGAAGCTGGCTATAGATGGTAAATCCAGTGTTACAAAACGACCAGCACCATTGGCGGGAGGATGCAGAATTGAAGGTTACGTGCGTGCAAAGAAGGTGACAATTATGATATTAGATTAGACTAACCATTGTACATATTATTTGGCATATAATTAGTTTGTCGAATCAGTTATGTTTAGCCTTGAGATAAATGAGTAGCTGAAAGTATTACTTGAGTTGCACTCTGCAGGTTCCTGGCAACCTCATCATCTCCGCTAGTTCGGGAGCCCATTCTTTTGATGCTTCTAGAATGAAAATGTCTCATGTCATACGCCATCTTTCTTTCGGTAAAACAGTTTCACCTCAGGTATTAAGTGATGTCAAGCGATTAATACCTTTTCTTGGTAGAAGCCATGACAAGTTGAATGATCAATCGTTCATCAATCACCAAGATGTAGATGCAAATGTTACTGTAAGTTTGCCCTTCTTGCCACCCTTTCGTTAAATTGTGCTCGGTTTACCTTGCTTGATTGCATTTTCAGATAGAGCACTACCTTCAAGTAGTAAAAACAGAGCTCGTCACGAAAAAATCTTCTCGAATCGTCGAGCAATACGAGTACACGGCGCACAGCAGTCTGGCACACAGCCTGCACATACCTGTTGCAAAATTTCATTTCGAGTTGTCTCCGATGCAGGTTAATCTTCAAACGATATAGACGTGTATCTAGCTTCCATTCTTGTTTTACCATTTAATCTCGACCAGACTCGAAATCATTTTCACATTTTATCACCAATGGCTGCGCTATAATCGGAGGTGTTTTCACGGTTAGTATCCATCTGAACAGACTTTTCTTTTCTGTTTCAAAACTCGTCATCGGAAAAAATCTTGTGTCAATTACAGGTTGCTGGGATTCTGGATTCTATTTTTCATAATACAGTTAGGCTGGTGAAAAAAACAGAATTAGGCAAAAAATTTTGATAGACAGCCTGAAACGAATTTGTTATTCTGTAGAGTTCTAATTAGTGAAGCTTTTTCCACAGGAACAGAAGACGAAATTTATATGTTTAATTGTCCATATTCGAAATTTACTAAAGTACTTAAGGGCCACATTAAAAACTCCTACCCAATATCAAAGTATTGGACCTACGAGGGGAAAATAATATCCCAAACTATAGATAAACTCTATATCATTCGTAACCTTCGTAAAAATAACCTCAGGGCTAATCGAGTCAAAATATAAAGACCTCAAAGATTGAACTGCCCATTTAGTGAAACTATCTGTAATAATATTACAAGATCTTTGAATTAAGGTAATATGAAGACCCAGAAACATTTTGAAACGGTTTTTTGCCTATTGAAGATGTAACATCTACATAGAGATATCCTCCTCATCATGGAGTAACTTGTTAACCAGGACGGCGCAATCAGATTCAAAGTGGACATTTTCTCATTTTCTTTCGATAGTAAGATCTGGGGAAGCTACAAAAGCATTGAACTCAACCAAAGTGGGATCAAGAGCACCTCGCATCGATTGAGCGAGCCCAACCTAAAACTTGTCCAGCATGGTCTCGAACTACGATCCCCACAACAACAGAACCAGTCGCAGGAGTCAGAGAGCCATCATAGTCGAGCCTCACAATACCAAAATGAGGGGTGTCCAACGAAAAGAAGAAACAGCAGGGACCAATTCCTCCAAGCTAGAGACCCCGACATCTATGTACCTGGCCACGAGATCAAGAGATCTCTACGAACCCCGATGCAAAACTTGGACGTTAGCAACAATGACCTACGTCAATTGTAACCTGTCATCATAAATGTATGTGTTACGACCATTCCATAAGTTCCGAAGAAGTGTAATCAAACCTGCAAATCGCTCAAGGCCCAAGACCAATAAACACTCCTCGAACCACTAAAGAGGGTAGTCACGTTTGATAGCCTGCAAATCGAAGAGCTTCTTGAGTACGAGGATAGTCACGTACGACATGAACACATCGGACAAAGACCGTCCGACAGTCCAGCGGCCTTCAGGCTGTTGTGAACAGAAAGAGCCCCCTTGTCATCCGCCATGCAAAAATACGGATATTGGGAAGTACTTGTAACTTGGCAATGCTCTTCCACAGTTTGGAGATTGATCCCTGGGCATAAGTAAGGCACTGGAACCAAGAATATCCTGATCGCATCGAATAGTGTCCAGTATCATGATAGCCCCTTAAAATTGTATCACCTTGACATGGAGCAATGATTACCACGAGGAGCTTTGCAGCATCGCTCGGGGGAACACATGGTTAACCAATTCTTCTTTCCAACGAGCCATTCTAGGGACCATGAATTCATGACAACGAATGGGATTGTAGTTGTTATCTAAATATGTACCAACAAAAAATAACTTAGATTAATCACCCCATGGGTCGATATGCATACGCTTAGAACTGTTAATTCGCACCCGTCAGAAGAGGCCATCTTGCATGGCACCCAACACATTGTGGATCCCTCTTCATGCAAAGGAGTGGTTATTTCCCAACTTAGCATGTAATAGATCACCATCCAAGAAATATTTCGCATGCAATACCTTGTCCATAAGACAATTAGGCTCCTTTATACTTCGCCAAATCTATTTCTCAAGTAACACCAAATTGAAACTCCGCATATCGTAGAAGCCCGTTCCTCCAACATTCTTTAACATATACATTGCCTTCCATGCGACAAGCGGCCATCCACGTTCTGAGATGCGGCCAGACCACCACAGTACAAACGCATTGTGCTAAGTGCTAACCATCTCCTGGATCAAACAATCTAGTGATATATAACAGGACATCACATATTAAGGAAGAGCTTGGGCTACCACATTAATAAATATCTCACGTCCGCGAAACGAAAGAAAGTTTTTAATCCACTCATTACTCATGTGACAACCTTATCCCTGAGAAAATCGAAAGCATTTTATTTGTTTTTACCAATTACCAGTGGCATACCAAAGTAGTGGCCAAGGTCATCTACCTCCGGCACCCCAATATAGAAGCTGAAATCTACATGTGGAATCGAGTAGTCAAAGGACTGAAGCACATAGTCAATTATCCAGATTAACCTTCCACCCCGAAGAGCCCTCATAGGTCCGAAGAATACCCTTAGAACATTGAGTATCCAGATTAACCTTCCACCCCAAAGAGCCCTCATAGGTCCGAAGAATACCCTTAGAGCATTGAGTATCCAGATTAACCTTCCACCCCAAAGAGCCCTCATAGGTCGGAAGAATACCCTTGAAACATTGAGCTTCGTACGAGTACTTTAAGAAAATAATGTTGCTATCCGCAAATAAATAGATTTCAAAATAAGAAGACTTTTAAAAAACGTTGTGAAAAGATCATATCTTATCTGAGAAATATAAAAAAATATTTAACTTGTTTGATCATTTTGGAAGATTAGACTTTAATTTGAACAAAATTTGAAAGATTGGGTTAATTTGAACAAAATAAATAAAATGTTAGACCCTAAATCAACTATTAACAAAATTAAACTCTAAAGAGCACACATTTAAGAGTTCAACTAAACTTAAAGCTAAAAAAAATGAATTTGACCGATTATAAGATCCTATGTTAAATGGAACATTTCATTTTCTGTTGCATAAGTCTGCTCGCTGGAGAACTAGGTGATTTGGCTGAAACATTTTTTATTTAGATTCAAATACAACATGTAAATACCAATAATTATTGTTCACCGAAGCACAATTGTTGCATAAATCTACATGCATGTCACGAATTTTCAACAATAAAATTGTCACAATTAGGAGTGCAATTATCAAGCCAAACTTATTAAAGGAGTTGAAACTCAAAACCAAGTTTCAAAATCAAAATCAAACTCGAAATCGAACTGGTCACTATTCAAACTTGATTACAGCTCGTCCGAATAGAACAGAATATAAACTCTAATTACAGCATATCTTACTAGAACATAATAAAATCATATGAACATGGATTTATTTAATTACCACAGAACTTATCAAATACGAATATTTCAACAAATATATGAAATGTCTAAGCAACATAGATAGATTTTAGCTTTGAATAATATAGAAACAAACTCCCATACATTTCATCATCCAACGAAGTCCAGTAAACTTAAAAGCACAAGAAACACACGATGCATAAGTTGTTATCAAACCGACATAGAAACAATATAACTGCATGGACATATAATCTAAGGAGATAGCTGTTATTTCTTGCCTCGACACAGGGATCGCGACTAGGTAGAAAATTTCACGAAGCTGCAGGATTAGAAACCATGGATTTTGATGTTGTCCTTCTTCACAATGCCAGCCTGATCGAAAACAAAACAGGAATGCCAATTAGGAGATCATACACCACATAGCATCCATTGCGCTTTTGAATAAACTCGATCAAGACATCGAAACATTACAAGAACCAATAGCACAATTACCTGAACAAGGAAGGTCGATACATTCTTGCGCTGGTCACCTTGAAGTTGAATAACCTGAATATAAACAGCAACATAGCAAACATTACAACCAGGTACTAATAAGAAATATCGATAAAGCGAATAACCTCTTAGTAAGGGGTTACAGAAACACCTGTCCTAGTTCAGGGTCCTGGACCACCGTGCCATTGCAGCAAAACTCCTTCTTGAGGTCTTTAAGTATCTTGTTATAGCTGAATTCTTTCTTCAACCCCTGGACAGTTGTCAGGCTTTTCCGACCATTCCTTTGCTGAATACGAATATGCACGTACTCCTTTGAACCGGCACCTGAGTCCTCAGCATTTGCATCAGCAAAGGGATCTAAAATAGAAAATACGTAAGTTAAACCCATATTAACTACAAAAGGCAGATTGAAAACAATGGTAAATATCGGAAATCAAGGAAGTTATGATAGAATCATACCAAAAGCATTAGGAATCTGAACGTCAAGATCAGACATGAAACTTAGTTGATCAAAGAGGCCTAACAACCACAAACTCAGACCTAAAAGTACAAAGCAATAACAACATTAGATTCAGCATATCTCTATATATCGTACCTCCATCAAGAATAAGAATAGTTTTCAGGTAAAACGACATAATCATAACAAGAATCAAACTTGTTTGCAATAACAGAGATTCAGCCTAGTAATAGCACATCCTAAGTTGCAAATTCACTGACCGATCTTCAACTTCCCCAAAGAATACTAAAGAAAATAATAGATAAACAAGAATCACCCAAATATGTTCAATTCGTATATTATTGAAACCAATTCATAAAAAATGTACGTCCAATTCAATTACAGATCATTGCCAAAAAAATCCCAAACATCAAAGACTATAGATTCACTATTATCTTGAATTTATATCAATCTAAACTACTTAGCTGAAAAATACACAAAGAAAAGTTAACCTTGAATCTTAAATCTTGTGCCTTCTTCTTCAGACGAAAATATTCTTAATCCGAAATTAAATATAAGCTTTTGATCATAAGCATATGATCAAAACCCAAGATCAATCAACAGCCGATAAAGAAACGATCTTTAACCCATAAAAAGGAAAACAAAATGGAGAAGATAACAGAGGGGAGAAGTTACCTGATCCGAGGATTTTAGGGTTTCTTTCAGAGAACTGGGATTCGGAATTATTAGGGGGGAAACCCTAAAATTCGGATAAAGTCTGAGGCGTTTGGGGGGGCGGTGGTGGAGTTAAATTTTGTTCGATTTGAGTGGCGAGGAAATTAAAAGGAAAATACTTTTTTCGAAAGTTGTACGCGACTTAAAGTGATGGGAATCTGTACTCGCGAGATTTACGATGAAGAACTCGTACTCGCTAGAATAATATTTTGATGATAAAGGTCGGAAACGTGGCGTGTGATAGGTCGAAGCGTGAGCTTCACCGTCAATGAGAAAAAAAGGGGAGTTCTTGAAGTCGAGGGGTAGAATTGTCAACGGATGTGGATTTTTTTATTCTTTTAGAAAATGGAGGGTTCGGGGTTCGGGTTTAAACGACGTTGTTTTACATCCGAGAAATCCCGAAGTCGGCATAGGTTAGGACAGAAGTGGATTAAGTTCCGGATAAGATTCGCAGATGGACCCCACAGTCCAATAGAACTGTATTCCTCAACATTAATATTCACTTTAGAATCATATGTAATAAGATTGTAATTAAGATTCATTAATCATCGAGTGATTGAAGAATATTTATTTCATTTTAGAATCATATGTAATAAGATTGTAATTAAGATTATCCTATTAAAGATCATAAACACGATCAAGTATTCACGATAATGGGGAATGAAAACGGCAGGAATACGGGACATTACACTAGGAATATGCTTGCCCACTATATGACTAAACGTGGGCGTGGAACAGAACCGAGATTATCGATGTTTCATCATCCCCGATGGAAGCTCAACGTCTCCTGTTTTCCCATCAACCTCCCCACATAAAATGACCTTCGAACTCCTAACGCGGTTTTCTTTTTTAACAAAAACACACACACACACAATTGTACCTTATGTGTGTGTCTAATAAGATTTAATACACAATTGATGACTACTTTCATGGAAGTAGACAGAAGATATATTAGTCGATTGTATTCCATTATTTACCATAAATATTAGTCGGAGAAAACAAAAATCGCAGGTCACACTTGCTATCAAAACAATGAAAACCATGGCATTTAATAAATTCCCAAATACATTGAATCTAAATTAAATCATAAGTAATTCTTATCTTCCATTCTAAATAGGGAAAAGGAACAGAATATTAGAACCAATGTTTCGTCAATTGTTTGTATAATATTCTTTTATATTCATTTCTAAATAAAAGAGTATGAATTTTTTTTATATTAATTTAACAAACGAAATAACATGAACAATATGTTTTATTTTTTTTATTCACAAGTAAACTCATTTATTAATTCTTCTATAAACTAGATTACTTAATTTTCTTTTTCCTCCTTTTTACATTTTAAATATTTGTAAATATAGAAGCTAAATTATATACAAGATAACAAGTTCAAGGTATGAATCTTAAGAAAATTAAAAATTAGCAATTTCATCATTTACCTTTAACTTGCGAATAAAATATAAAAACAAAATTTTAATTGTTAAACATTAAAAGAATATGTTTACAAACATTAACTAAAACATTCATAAACGTTAATTGAATATATTCATCACAACTAAAATGAATATATTCATGAAAATTAAAAAAACAATCGCAAGAACTTAAAAAATAACAAAGAAACTTTAAAAATAATAAATAAACGCAAGCGTAAATATAATACTAAAATTTAAATAAATATAAACAAATAAAAATTATTTTTAAAAAATAAACGAGTATATATATATATATAATTTTATTCGTTCAAACTCGAGTCATTTATACCCTAATTTTGAAAGATGAAAATAATAGTTTTAGTGAAACATATCATTTGCGTTCAAAATATCAATGCCCAAATTCTAAGCATTGAAATCATTTATCAATCGGTAAACCATTAACTTGATACAGTAATAATTATATGCAACAGAACAACCCACAGATTCCAATGAATAAGAAGAATTCAAACAAGTATTGAAACTAGAAAGAACTTTTATGAAAGATGAAATTTACTTAACAACATCGTACTGGCGATCGGAAACTTGAACAACAAACAAGGACAATACAGTAGTTTAACAAATTTATTTTGATAATAAGCTGCAGCTGCATACAGCAAAGAGTTCACACAAAACATAACCACTAAAGACATCAAACATGACTGGACTGTAGTAGGGTTCCCATCCATAATTCACTCTTAAAAGCTGCCACCACGGAGTCGAAGGACCAAGTGCAAAGTTGATTCCTTCTGGATGTTGTCGCCAGGGTCCTCCATCTTCAAGCTGCTTCCCAGCAAAGATCAACCTCTGCTGATCCGGGGGAATTCCTTCCTTATCCTGAATCTTGGCCTTGACATTATCAATCGTGTCCGAGCTCTCAACCTCTAGGGTGATAGTTTTCCCAGTGAGGGTCTTCACAAAAATTTGCATCCCACCACGAAGACGAAGCACCAAGTGGAGGGTGGACTCCTTTTGGATGTTATAGTCAGCCAAGGTGCGCCCATCCTCAAGTTGCTTACCTGCAAAAATCAACCTCTGCTGGTCTGGCGGGATACCCTCCTTGTCCTGAATCTTGGCCTTGACATTATCTATTGTGTCGGAACTTTCAACCTCCAAGGTGATGGTCTTTCCAGTAAGTGTCTTCACAAAAATCTGCATACCACCACGAACGGAGCACCAAGTGGAGGGTGGACTCCTTTTGGATGTTATAGTCTGCCAAGGTGCGCCCATCTTCCAGTTGCTTCCCAGCAAAGATCAGCCTCTGTTGGTCTGGGGGGATACCCTCCTTGTCCTGAATCTTGGCCTTGACATTGTCAATCGTGTCAGAGCTTTCAACTTCCAAGTGATGGTCTTCCCAGTAAGTGTCTTAACAAATATCTGCATACCACCTCGAAGACGGAGCACCAAGTGGAGGGTGGACTCCTTTTGGATGTTATAGTCTGCCAAGGTGCGCCCATCCTCCAGTTGCTTACCAGCAAAGATCAGCCTCTGTTGGTCTGGGGGATACCCTCCTTATCCTGAATCTTGGCCTTGACATTGTCAATGGTATCTGAACTCTCCACCTCCAATGTAATGGTCTTTCCGGTGAGGGTCTTAACAAAGATTTGCATACCACCCCTCAATCGAAGGACCAAGTGGAGTGTGGATTCCTTCTGGATGTTATAATCAGCAAGGGTCCGGCCATCCTCCAACTGTTTACCAGCAAAGATAAGCCTCTGTTGGTCAGGAGGGATTCCCTCCTTATCTTGGATCTTGGCCTTTACATTGTCGATGGTATCAGAACTTTCCACCTCAAGGGTGATGGTCTTGCCAGTGAGGGTCTTGACGAAAATTTGCATCTATTGTGAGTAAAAATAAAACACAGATAAGATTAAAAAAAAGAACAAAAATTTTCTATAACCAGGTTCCAACCAAACAAAGCATATTAAATAAAACATTTCAAACAATTATGTAAAACTCGTATGAGTAGGGTCTTAAAAATCAAGATCCTGCACTAGCTAATATTATCCATCTTGTTTTGAAGTTGTAAACCCTAATTTCACCTCTTTAAATAATATATTATAAACCATAGATTTTATTAGAAAAGGTATCGTATACAGATTTATGTTCTGCGATTGAATATTTTATAACCCCCAAATTGAAGAGGGAAATAAAGAAATCATAATCGAATCAATTAGAAACAAAACAGAAGCAGAAGCAGAAAAAAAAAAATTATGATCTACGATTGAATTATAAAAAACCCTAAAAACCACAAGGGAATAATATCCCTAACCTTATTCATAGAATTCATGGGCACCCCACAAGATAGAACTACTGGAATCGAAAAACAAAAAGAAAGGCAGAAATTATAAAGAATTTAAATACCTTGAATGAAGATTTTGAAAGGGCTTGATTCGACGGATTAAAATCACAATTCTTTGAAACTGCCAGGCCTAGGTCGCCTTAATTTATAGGCGGAATTAGTATGTCAAATGACGCAAAAGGGCTTGAGTTCAACTAATAGAATGAGACCGCGTGTCATAGTCGTGTCTTTTAGCCCTTAATTTGACCTGCACGCCAGGATTACAATTGGATCAAGCGTGGTGTGCTAGATATATTAGAAGATTCCAATTGAAAACGCGCCTCTAAAGAGAGTTCAAAAGACGCGCTTGAATGACGTAAAAAATAAACAAGTTTAAATTGAGTTAATATTTTCCTAAAATCATGATTATATTTGCACCAAATAATTGATGCTTTTCGTTGGATAAACTATCAAAATGGTCTCTTCATTTTCATAAACATTCACTTTTAGCCACTTAATTATATAAACTATCAAAACGGTCTCTTTGGTTTCATAAATATTTATTTTGGTCACTTAATTATATTAAATATTTCTAGTTATTAAATTATATCCTTTCTTACACCACCAAAACATATGATTGTTTGTTGGAGTGTATCAGATCTCCTCGATTACATTAGTCATTAGGGTGTTTAAACGGTTAATTCAGCTATCGATCGAACCGAATTATCATTAACTGAATTAACGAACTTTTTTTTTCTTTAGCCGTTAACCGAATCGAACTTTTTTTAAAAAATATTAACATAACCAAACAAAGTTAGGTTAACCGAATTAACCAAAAAATTATAATTTTTTATAATTATATTAAGTTAAATATAATAGATGTATATTTTTATTTGAGTTAAAAATTGATTAGGCATTGATAATTTAATGAGTCTAGTGTGATTAAAAAAATGATGGTATTATTTTTAATGGATTTGAGCTTAAAATGTTTATAATATATATATATATAATTTAATAATTCCGGTTAATTCGGTTAATTAATCGATTTCGAATCAAATTAACTGTTAACCGAATATTGAAAAAAATAGTAATTGTTCCCCGACCGAACTAATTTGGTAGTCGATCAAATTAACCGAACTAATTTGGTTCGGTTCGGTCGGTTAATTCGATTAAATTGAATAGTGAACACTCCTATTACTCACGATCGTGACTCGAAAGGAACTGGTCTATAGAGGAAGTCATTACGTGTAATTGATGCTAGTAATGAGAAAATCCACAAGGTATCATCCTTGCATTACATACTGTTATATTTACGTCCATTCAACATTGTGGAAAATTTGTGGTGTTATATCTTACATATCATGCTTCGTACCATGGCATGGTATGTGCAGAGTTTTGTTGGCCATGGTGACCCAATAAATGAAATCAGGACTCAGCCATTGAAACCATCACTTATAGTGTCTGCAAGCAAAGTATGCATCAAAACGTTTACTTGATAACTTTTTTCTTTATCAAATGGCTAATATTTGAAACTGGATCAGGATGAATCTGTTAGATTGTGGAATGTCCATATCGGTATATGCATTCTGATATTTGCTGGTGCCGGGGGTCACCGCAATGAAGTTTGAGTGTGGTGGGTGCCGAAAACATCGAGTTATCCTATACTTGTCTTTCCCCTGCTGAATGGAACTATGTCTTCATGTTTGTTATGTTTTACTTTCATATTTTCCACTTACCATATGATGGTGGGTATGATTGCTATTGTAGGATTTCCATCCTTCAGACATTTATCGAATTGCAAGTTGTGGGATGGACAACACTGTTAAGATTTGGTCAACGAAAGGTATGATTTTGGAAGTCATCATTGTGGGATTTTGTTGTTCTCGTTTTTGGTGCGAAAAAACAAAATTTTCTGATAAAGTTGGAGCATTGAAATGAAAGCTAGGGATGTACATGATTTTTATCAGCAAAGGACTGGTTATACGTTGTCTACGACCTTGGTTTTTGTGGTTATGGGGTAACCCGGAATGGTTGGATCTGAGGTTAGATATTGTCTAGCATCAAAAAGAATTTGATTGTTGGACACGTGATTTCATGCGATAATTAGCATCGAGTAAACACCAAGTTAGGCATTCATTCCTTTCTGTAATGTTTTTAATCTTCCTTCAGAATTCTGTACTTATGTTGAGAAATCATTCACATGGACCGATCTTCCTTCAGAATTCCCAACAAAATACGTACAATTCCCTGTGAGTACCTGTTGTTTCTTCTCCTCTATGTAAATCTTTACTGTTGCTCTAATATTTTAATGGTTACATATATTATTTCCAGGTGTTCTTAGCTTCGATTCATTCAAACTATGTGGATTGTAATCGGTGGCTTGGTGATTTCATTCTGTCAAAGGTAAACTATTTATATTGTTATATCATCTTTCATGCAGAGCTCGAATTGATTCAGTAAACATTGTCACATGTTGAGTAACTTGAGCTACTTTTGTGAATAATGGTTGAACGACCTTTGCAGACATGACTTGCCTAAGTCGTATAAAATTCAAGGCAGCTTTCAGATGTCTTACTTTAAATGTTATTTGGCATTATATTTCCCCTCTTTCTAAGGTCATCGTTGGTACTTGAAATTAGGTCATTTTAAATGACCTCTTATCATCATATGGAAATTAAGTTACATTGTTAGAGATGCATATTTATGTAACTTTCTTTGTTAAGTTAGAACTCTTGTGTTTACTGATGGAAAGTTCGAGTTGAGGTTCTCTTGTGAAACTTTCTTAGGACTTATTATCGTAAATCTTCAATTATCGAGTTGAGGTTCTCTTGTGGAACTTTTCCATGTTACTTGAACTCGGGTGCGAGTGTCGGATACGGGTATATCCAGCACGAGTATGCTCAAATTTTTAAAGTTTTTCCATGCTTTGGAGGGTTCTTGAATGGTCATATCCATGTATTGTAATGTGTCGGATATGGGTAACTACAAGGAAAATGAAGAGTTAGTGTGTAGGAATTTTATGTCACGACTCACATGGGGTGATATAAGTTGCTGTGTGGTGTAATTGCAGAGTGTTGACAATGAAATTGTGCTATGGGAACCAAAGATGAAGGAGCAATCTCCTGGAGAGGTTTGAACTTCGAAATCTGTCTGTTTATCTTTATATTTCTTGTTACAGATCTATATATCTTTTGGGAAACTCTCAACTTCTACAACAATGACGACCTTAATGATGTTTCTTGTTTAGGGTACGGCAGACATCCTTCAGAAGTACCCTGTTCCGAATTGTGACAGTTGGTTCATCAAATTTTCTTGCGACTTTCATTACAATTCCGCTGCTATAGGTAATATCGAGGGCCAAATGCCACCATTTTTTGTTTTTGTATATAAATAATTTAGCAATAACCATATTGCCTGTTCAGTTATAACTATCCTTTCCCCATTGGATTATCAGTCGCTTATTATCTTTTGATCTCTCAAACAAATTGTACATTTTGGTAAGCTTACTATTGTTATTAGAGCTTGTACTCATTTATAGGTATTTTTTTTTTCGGACGCGGCAGGGAATAGAGAAGGCAAGATTTTTGTGTGGGAACTGCAAAGTAGCCCTCCTGTTCTCATTGCCAGGTTTGCTTAATTTGCTCTCATTAGCAATGAAAGGACATTCTTCCTTTATATATTTAGCGTTCGTTTGTATTTTCTTTTTCTTGTAGATTATCTCACGCACAGTCTAAGTCTCCAAATAGACAGACTGCAACGTCCTTTGACGGAAGGTAACTACTGCTCAAATTTTTGATGTTGCTTTTATCAATGAAGCACAATTTTCTTCTCCTTTTTATGCACAAAACAAGCATTGGTTTCGGGTTTGATTGTTGCAGCACCTTTCTCTGTTGCTGTGAGGACGGGACGATATGGCATTGGGATGCTGTCCCGACCAACTAATCATTCTCAGGAAACTAGCAGGAAAAAACATGTAGAACTGTTTGTCTTGTCATGTCTTTCCCACTAATAGTAAGTTTTCTAGCTTAAACAATATTTGAAGCAATGTTTGGTAGCTAATATGAGCTAGTTTCGGCAACACAGCCTTCAAAACCCTGTATTTTTACACCCATTTCCCCTTGGGTTCTTTCCTTTACATATATTATTAGTCATTACAATTCCATTTTCCAGAACCTAAATCATTCAAACTGATTCGAAATTCCACATCACATTCGATGTACCAAATGAACTTTGAGTACCAATATCAAATTATGCGTACAATGACAGACACCCAAGAAATCCAGTTAGAGAACTTGAGTAAAATCAACAGGCCCAGAACAACGACTAAACGAATAAAACTTGTTTGCATCAAGATGCAAAACCAAATTGTACCAGTTGCCGCCTTACAACCGGAGGGCGGAGTACATGATCCTGTGAGGTATCCACAGCTGCTGGTGGCATGAATTGCCACATAGCGACTCCAGGATAACCAAGGAAAGGAACCAACTTGTTACGGGAGCTTGAACTGGGCAGCAGCAAATGCAGCAGGGATTGCGGTGCGTGAGGCATGAAGCTAGGTTGGGCATTCATGGTTTTGAGTTGCTGCTCCAGCTTTCCTTCTCGACTTTCAGCCTCTGCTTTTCGTCACGAAGCTCATTCTTCTCAGCCTGAAACAGAAATTCACTTTAATACAATGCAAATCCATAATCGATGTTTCTTTAATCATTTTGAAGATTCTAGCAGATCCTAAATAGAAAAATAGTATGCTAAAGAAACTGATAATTTTAACCAAAGAAAGAAACTCTGCAATCTCACCTTCAACTCTTTAATCCTTTCTTGCAGACTTGAATTGACTCCGCCATTTTCTGGGCTTATCTCGTAACTGTGTCACCATTCGGACATCAACCAAAATAGCAGCCTTGTCTGTTCTGGGAGGCCTTCCAGGTTCCAATATAGCCCAGCTCTACAAACCTGTTATTTCGAAAATGTTGAATATTTATGTTATGCAGATAAAACGAAAAAGTAAAGAAAGTCCAGTGAAGAAAGACGCCAATACTTGTCATTTAGCCTATCCCTACGCAACTTCTCTCTACATGCTTTGGAGCTAGAGGGTTGCATGATTCAGATCTGCCCTGCAATAGGCAATAGACAATATCCTCCAACATCAAACCTCTATCAAGTTGGTTCTGTTAACATATTGTCATGATGCAAAAAGAAGATTCTGAAGTTCATTTTACATCTAAATCATCATTGAGGCGCTGCTGATGGACAACATTTCTTGCTTAGTTAAGAAATATATGGTATTGGAGCAGATTAAAAGCTAAAAAAACTACTAAAGTTTTGAGTCCTCAAAAGTAAAGGTATGATGCTACTTTTTTCCATACTCAATCTCATGGCCAGAAGTAGGCCTAAACATTGGGACATTTTAATGCAGTTTCTCTCAGTAAAGGTATTCTAAACCAAAAAACAGTTTTATAATATTTCCAAACAAATATATGAGTAAATAAGAAGTGAAAACCGACTCATCATGAGAATGGAACTGGCAATTGCTTTTTCATTTTTATTTTCTCTACCAATCACTAAAAGACAGAATTACCTCTTCTTTGGACCAGATTCTTTAAGTCCATGAATCCCCAACGAGCCACCAATTTCCACACTAGGAAAAGATCATAACACAACATAATGAAAATATGACAGGAAAATCAAAAGCAACCAACCAAAAAAGGGAAGGTAAAAACAAAGATGGTGATAATCTGTTGCCATAATACAGAACTGAAACACAGTCGACAAATTTAAAAGTCGAAGATCTGCAACGGAATGAACTAAATGTTTCAAAACAAGTCAAATCCCACTTCCAATAACATTGCTTTGATTTCAAACAACTCTCAAAGAAGCACAATGATAAAAATCCAGTTCAAACCAAATCATGTTTCTGGTTTAAGACACAATATGCTATGAAAACAAACATGTGGTAGAATGTATGATACATGAGCTGAATGGCAATTAAATACAGAAAACAAATCAACACTAACAAATGCCCAAAGCACTAGCAGAGAGTATCATCTTGACAGGTTATATACCATACAAACAAACACTATAGTCTAACAAAAGCACAACTTAAAGATTGATTGAAATATAGTGTCCCTCGTCTACTTCAGATATTAACTCCCGGTTTAAGACACATATGCTATGAAACAAACATGTGGTAGAATGTATGATACATGAGCATGAATGGCAATTAAATACAGAAAACAAATCAACACTAACAATGCCCAAAGCACTAGCAGAGAGTATCATCTTGACAGGTTATATACCATACAAACAAACACTATAGTCTAACAAAAGCACAACTTAAAAGATTGATTGAAATATAGTGTCCCCTCGTCTACTTCAGATATTAACTCCCTTTTATCTAAGTTTAACACATTGTAACATTTTTACTCCAAGTTAATCTGCTAACAATATCGACAAGGAAACAATCAAACTAGACTAAGTAAAACCCTTAACTCAAATTTATAATTTAAAGAACAAATTAACCGTTTCACTTAACTTTCTAAAGAACCTCAACCAGCTCCACATTTATATACAAAAATAGCACCATTTCCATGAAGAACCGAAGCGAAAACAAATTTATGACAAATTCCAAGAAACCCTAATCAGATTATCAAATTAACCCCAGATGATTCGGTCACCCGAAACAGCAATCAATCAAATAAAACATTTACAAAACCCCCAATGAAAATTAGAAAAAAAAAAAGAGATTTCTTGCGGGATACTTGACAGCTGTAGAAGCAGCGTTGATTGGCAGCGTGGGCCAGGAAAAACCGGAATAGGATCCGTCGGGGACAGTGATATCGTCGATCAAGGTTGCGTAATCGAATTGAGACCAATCATTGGAGTTTTCAGGGGATACCATTCTCCGCTAACTTTGAATATTTCCCGACAAGTTTAAAGGGTTTTGTTTGATTTTTCCCGACTTTCAAAGGGGAGAGAGAAAATAACAGATGGTTGGAAAGGGGCGGTATTTTGGGAAGTTATACGGTGCGGTACTTTTAATATATAGTTAAAAAAATAGTATCGAATTTATTATTATTTAAATAATAAAATATATAAAAAAAATTAACTAAAATATTATTATTTTTATCTAAAACATTAATATTTTTTAATATTTATGATAAAATACCCAATAATAATAAAATCAATAAAAAATAATAAAATCAATAGTAATTTTTTAACCGTATATTAAGACGTATCACGTGATCATTTCCCGGTATTTTGGGCTTTTTAGGCTTCAAAAAGGCCACTTAAATGAAGTTTGAGTTTTCAAATGAGATAATTACATATGATTTTGATTAAACTAAGAATCCCATGTTAAATTAATTTTAAATTTAAAATTATTATATCGATAAATTAAGATTGAATTTAAATTAATATTAAATTTTAAAAATTTTATATCATATTTCAAACTATCAATACCGTTCTATTTTAACATACTCCTTTATCCTATTAAAAGTGTATTTTTGAGTTTTAAAATTATTTCATTCAAAATGTCCTATTAAAGAAGTCAACAAATAAAAATACTTTTATTTCATTTTTTTAACTTTATATGTCACACTTTTTTACATATATCAAAATAAATCTATTAAATCTATCGATCAATTTTGAGGGGTAATTTTATTATTTCACTTAATGAAATATATCTCTTAAAACTATGTGCATAGTCGAAATAGACATAAATTATGGAATAGAGAGAATATTGTTTATGAATAATTCAATTTAATTTAATTCTAATAATCTTAATTTAAATCGATAAATTATAATTATTATTCTTTGAAATCATAAAATTAAATACTAAAATTATTGTTTTTAAATGGATATTATCTTTACTTTACTTGTCTCATCAAAGAAAAAGAAAAAAAAGGAAATGGAGATAAATTTACAAAATTATCCTTAAAATGGATATCCTTCTGGTGGTCTGAATTTTCCAATGCTTAACGGATATAAACTGAAATACGAAAGAAACTCTTATCTCCAACTTAAAACTCAAAGACTGCAACTCTTCAATCCACAATTTCATGAAAATGGCGCATTTAGCCAGCTTAAATGGAATCACTGAGACCCTTCCAAATCCCAAAGCTTCCCATCATACAAAGAACCCGAAAAACATCGAGAATCATCGGGTTTTCAGCATAACGCATCAAACTTCCATGAACAACAACCTCCACTGCTAACTACAAGAAGAACTGCATTAGCCCTTGCCTCCATTTCCTGTCGGAACTTCTAGCAACCGTATCTCCTCGTGAAGATAACGGTTATTGGATTACCGATCTTTTACCCGTTCCTACGGTCGAAAACAGTAAGCTACGATATTTGTCATTCAGTCTGGGTGTCATGCTTGTAATACTCCATCTGATATATAGTTCTATGATGTGAACTGAAATGCGATTCCATTTTTTGTCTCGAAATGACAGAAGATATACGAATCCGGAGACCGGAACCGATCTTTCGTCAAGACAGGACTATATGTGGCTAATCTTAACACCAAGAACCGCATGTATAGGCTCAAGAAATATGCGTTTGACCTTGCAATGGCGGATTTGATTGGACAGACACTTTGAATTATGTCAAGAAGTATTTGAGACTTAAATCTACTGTTATGTACTTCGATTTCGACAAAATCATCTCTGCTGCTGCAGTTGATGATAAGCAACCTCTCATTACTTTGGCCAACATATTATTGACAGTTTTGAAAAGGTAAAAGAATCAATCTCTGAATCAATGTTGCATAAAATGAGAGCTCAATACCATACTAATAATTGTAAATGTTTTCTGATTTCGTTGGCAGCTCGAATCAATGTTTGCATAAAATGAGAGCTCAATACCAGATACTAATAATTGTAAATTTTCTGATTTCGTTGGCAGCTCGAAGATGCTGCGAAGATGCGTAATTTTCCGCAGACCGA